TAATTTGTGTTATAAATAGGAATCCGTAATTATGCATTTAAGTTACCATCATAAAAGAGAGAGGGGTTAGAAAAAATAGGTGTACAATTTTCTTTTTAAAACTTTTTTTATCATACTGAATCACTGCATATGCGGAAGATGACTTAATTTCACATTGAAACGAACTTTTATAAATCTTGTTTCTCTTTTAAGTCTTTCTGCTAGTTGATTGTTCTCAGTGAAATAGAATTAAAATTTCTAGTTCTCAATGGACTTCTATTTGTTTGTGGATATGTTCATTCTATAAATTGCCAAGTAAATTTTCCTATTGTTACATATTAACTTGGACATTAAAACTAACGTATGATTACCAAATATATATTTTCTTAAAAAGTACTTATAAATTGAAAGAACATTTTTACATATCACATAATTTTACATGCCAAACTTAAATTGGCAATAATAGATAAAGTGAAGAGATCTGCAAACAGATCAAAGTTAGTTGAGTTGATTGTATCAAATTGAAGTTGAGTAACTAAATATGGAAGAAAATTGAAGTTAAGTTATTTGTTTGTACCAAATTAAAGACTAGTGATTTATCCACTACAATGTGTTTCCCTTTGCACCATCATCTTTCTCATCTTCCTTGTATTTGGAATGTGAAGGGTTGGAATGTAAAAATAATACCCTTTGGCTGAGGATGCATTAGAATCATGCTTCATCAACTATAGTGATTCAGAGGATGTGAATGAAAGTTCTGGTGGTGTTTAAAATAATTGCATAGAAAACCTTAAGTAGTTACACATTTTCTCCACCAATCATGTCTCTTTCCATGCGAACGACCTAATTGTTGTTCCCGTGAGAACTTTTGTGTATATCTACATAATTTTATGCATAATAATTACAATATTACTTTCTCTATCATGAAAATTTTATTCACATTTAACACAATATAAAATAAATTAACATTTAAAAGAAATTCTTATTAGTAAATTAAAAGTGTAGCCAAAGATACTATTATATTAGAAATGTGGCATAACATGCTATGTCACTTTTTAATAAAAATGTCACAAACCATGCAACTTTGAATTTTCTTAATAAAATCTTTGACAAGAAGAACATTACCCCCACTATATTAAATCTCAATCCTGTAAAAAGAAAAAAAGATAGACAGTTAAATGAAATTCAAACAAACTAATAATAAATAAATGCTTCAAAAAGATTAAATAATCTTTGTTTCTGTGGCATTAATTATAGAAGTAATTCCTTTGTTTGATGAGGATTAAAAATTAGATTTTTTAGTAAATTTTGATAGAAGTTAATGAAATATTTGGTTGAAAAGTTGTGTAACCCATAAAATATGTGGTTAAGATTAATTGTTGACTTTGATTTATATTATAATCCTTACCAAATAGGGGCTCAAAAATTCAAAAAAAAAAAAAAAAATTGACAAATAATATTTAACATAAATCAAAACCTTAAAATAGATCCTAAGGAATGTTGATATTCTTCTGCATGTTGTCTCTTTATGATTATGATTAACTTCTATCAACTAAACATAAAAAATAACTTCATTTTACAAACTCAACGCCCTATAAGTTGGAAGTGGTAGAAATTCAGAAAATTTCAAAAATTAAAAAAAAAAATGTAATAAGAACTCAAAAAAGTGATAAAAACTCAAAATAATAAACATTAATTGATGTCTCATCAAAACCTTAAAATAAATCTAGTAGATGATTGATTTTCTTCTGCATATATTTCTCTTTGCGATTTTGTTTGACTTCTATAGCAAGTATATAACAATAAAGTAATAAATATTCAAAAAACTGAAAAAACTGATAGAAAAAAGAAAAAAAAGTGACAATCTCTTGTGATAAAGTCTCAACATCAAAAACTCCCACGTTTAAGTCTCAATAGATCACTGCCCCTCGCTCCCAAAAGTAAAAATAAGCTCTGAAAACAGTATGAAAATTTAAATTTTCCTTTACATCACAATACCGCACAGATGCAAGGAAATAACATAGCTTACCCACTAATGTGCTATAGATTGAATGGAAATAGTATCTGAAATGGTTCCACTGTCCAGATTTGGCTAAGGAATGGAAAAATGGACAACACAAAAAAGAGTAGATACATGTGCTCTTTTTAAGAGGTATTTTCCAAACTAACCGGGTATATTAGATTCATTCGGGTTTTTATGAAAAAATCTATTTTAC